CTCTCCCTTCAACCCTCCCCCAAGGTCCCCATGCTCCCAATTTACTCAGGAGATCTTGTCTTTTTCTACTTTCTACTTCCCATGTAGATTAGATCTATGTAAGTTTCTCTTACTGTTCTCATTGTTGTCTTAAGTTCTCTGGGATTATGGTTTCTAGGCTGGCTTTCTTTGCTTTATGTTTAAAGACCACCTATGAGTGAGTACATGTGGTAATTGTCTTTCGGTTACCTCACTCAAAATAATGTTTTCTAGTTCCATCCATTTTCCTGCAAAATTCAAGATGTCAGTATTTTTTTTCTGCTGTGTAGTACTCCGTTGTGTAAATGTACCACATTTTCCTTATCCATTCTTTAGTCGAGGGGCATTTAAGTTGTTTCCAGGTTCTGGCTATGACAAACAAAGCTGCTATGAACATAGTTGAGCACATGTCCTTGTGGCACGATTGAGCATCCTTTGGATATATACCCAAATGTGGTATTACTGGGTCTTGAGGAAGGTTGTTTTCTAATTTTCTGAGAAATCACCACACTGACATCCAAAGGGGTTGTACCAGCTTGCATTCCCACCAGCAACACAGAAGTGTTCCCTTTACCCCATAACCTCTCCAGCATAAGTTGTCATCAGTGTTTTTGATCTTGGCTATTCTTACAGGTGTAAGATGGAATCTCAGAGTTGTTTTGATTTGCATTTCTCTGGGTCATCCTATTTTCTAAGAGATGAGGAAAAAAACTAGGTGGTATCAAAAGCAAGAACATGCCAGATGGTGCCCCATGCCTTTAATCCTGGTCATAGGAGGCAGAGGCAGGTGGATCTCTGTGAGTTCAAGGCCAGCCTGTTCTACAAAGTGAGTTCCAGGAGAGTCGAGGCTACATGGAGAAACCCTATTTCAAAAAACCAAAACCAACAGAAGACAACAGGGAGAAGGAAGAACATCCATTCTACCCTCTTCTTAATAATAGAGGCTTTTGTCACTGCCTGTCTTTAGATGGCAGTGTGTATGCTTTTGTTTCTCAGATGGATAATAGATGTACACTGTTTAGAAACAGAACAAATTAAACGAAAGGACACTCCTGTACCAGGCTTCCTCAGGCCTTCCCACAGATAGATGATTCACCAGCAGGAAGTTGGCTTTCTTTTTTAAATTTATTTATTTGTGTGCACGTGAGTGCGTAAACCTACATATGTATACCTATATATGTACTTGGGTCATTTCTCCTTCTGTCGTGGGGTCTTGGGATAGAATTCAGGTCATCTAGCTTGGCAGCAAGTGTCTTTATCCTGAAACTCACTTAACGCTGGACATAGGGCATGCATCTGCAATCACAGCACTCCTCCAGCAAGATGGGAAGTACAGGAGAGCTAACATGGTAGACACAGGGACAAACAATAGGAAATCCTCAAAGTGAAGGCATGGAGGGCTGACCTTCATGTGTGTGCTGTGGTACACACTTATATTCACATACAGGAACCCACAGATATGAACACAGATCTTTAAGAGTGTGATGATGACCCTTCTGTAGAGTAAAGACTCTGGCAGTGGAGATGTAGGCGCAAGAATGACCTGGTCACCATGGCAGCACAGGCTCCAATGTACCAGCCTTGAGTGGGATGATCTGTGATCTGTTTGTTAGGTTCTGTGGGTAGAGCCTGTTGTGCTCAGAACACGTTCCCCTGCTGGACCGTACCCTTAGCCCCCAGAGTACAATTCAGATAAGCTTACGTGGTTGTGCTTGTGGGCTGTGGACTGCACTTGGCAGCAGGAGATGTAGGCTCAGATAGCTCTCTGACCCTCCCTTTTAGGTCCTGCAGCAGGCCAACAGCACAGCTAGGGGATATGGCAAGGGGGCCTGGGTGCCTTCAGGGGAGAATGAGATGTAGTTGCTATGTAGAAGGTGGCGTCTGGGAGTGCAGGCTGCAGGCATGGGGAGGTAGCATCCTGGGAGTGGCTGTGCCTGTATAGAGTTCTACTGGGTGGTCCCATAGTAATGTTCCTTTCACTACTTCAGAAAGCACCTCAGTGACAAACATAGTGTTTGCACCTGTGAGTAAATCTGTAGAAGTTACCAATATAAGTTGCAGGTAAGAGGGGCTGTACTTGTCGTTTAGACCTGCAGTCCCAGAGTGTCTCTAAAGGCACTGTATCTGTTTCTATGTTTTCCTGCTTAAAAATGTCCCTTAGGGCTGGTGTGTGCTTCACTAGCATGTGTAAAGTGTTAGATTTCATCTCCAGTTCCTGTGTAAAAACTTTTTTGAAAATACTGATTTTTGTGTGTGTGCGCGTGAGTGTGTATGTGCGTGCGCGCGTGCACGCACGTGTCTGTATGTACATTGAGTGTGTGCATGGTGCCTGAAGAGACCAGAAGAGGATGTTAGAGCCCTTGGAACTGGAGTTAGAAATGATCGTGAGCTGTGGGTGCTAGGAGCCCAGGTCCTTCCTCTGCAAGAGCAACAAGTTCTCTTTAACAACTGAGCTCTTTTCTGTGTGTTTCTCATTATGCAGTATTCCTAGATCTTTAACTCTGATGGACAGCTCTCTGTTCATCTCTGTAAGGCAGTGCAGTACGGCTGTCCGCACACTGGACAGTCATTTGTGTTTTGTGAACTTCCTTTTGAATCTCTCACATTTTTTCAGTGGGAGAACTTTTTAATTTTTTTTTCCTTAGTTGTAAGAGCTCTTTAGAAAGATAAAATTGAGAAAACAACTCCTTTTGAATTTGAGTTCATGAAGTGAGTAGGGTAAGGTAAAGTCCTTACTTTTTCTGTCTGGCCGGACACCTGACAGCAGGGATTCGGGGAGGAGGGCGGATGAACCTGAGGAAGGGAACAGTAGGGGAGGTGGTTTGATCAAGGTGCAGGAGAGTGGGAATTGCTCACTCCCCATCATCACGTTGGAGGCTGCCACACTCCACAGTCTGGTGCCTTTTCACTTTGTGGGCACAGATCTCCATGGGATCTGACAAACCTGCTCCCTTGAGGGGCACCACACTTTAGACCCCTGACGTGCAGCCTGGTTCCAGCAGTTGCATGAACTTGAGTCTAGGGACTCCAGGCTTCTTTGGGACTCCCTGGCTGGAACCACCTTGGGTACTATCCAGCTGTTGCATTCATATTCTCTCTCTTTCTCCCCCTCTCCCTCTCTTCTTCTCTTTCTCTTTTTTCTCAAGAGAGGATTTCTCTGTGTAGCCCTTAGCTGTCCTGGAACTCAATCTGTAGACCAGGCTGATTTCAAATTCAGAGATCCTTCTTCCTGTGCCTCCTGAGTGCTGGGGTAAAGGTGTGCACCAGCACCCCATCTTCTGCCTTCAGTCTTAATGTGGGAGAATTGTGGGTGACACTGAATCTTTTTCAGGTGTAGTTCAGAAATGTACAACAGTAGGGCTACTTGGTGATGGCCATGGCTGCCAGCTAAAGGTGAAGGGACAGGCAGAACCTTCTTTAGGTTTGATGTGTGATTTTATGAATGAGAAATCTTGCGTGTGAAGTCGCATCAATCCAGAAAGTGTTCTTCAGAAAACAATAACAGCACACACAAAGAGGCTGAGTTTGCT